CGACATAGCCATTATGCTAACTGCTGGTCCCTATTTTTTTTTTTTTTTTTACAGTTTTAAATAGTTTATTTGTGGAACCAGCAGGTGGAGTGGTGGTTAATACGCTGGACACTCCCACATGGTCAACCATGGTTCAAGTCCCGGACCTGGTGGCTTGCTTTCTCACTTTATCTCTCTCTCTCTCTGGCTGATCAAACTGGAAAAAAATAGGAAGTAAAGTTAAATAAAATAATTCTTTTTTTTTTTTTTTTGGAGAGGTTTTTGCTACAGGGTGTATGCGCTCACCAGAAAGACAGAGAGACAGAAAGTGAGAAATGACCCCCCAGGGGGGATGGCCATGCCGCAATCCCTTCTCCTCCATTCTCCTCTCGGGATCTTGGGCATGCATGTACACACGCCCGGCGTGAGTTTAAGCCACCGGGTCCAGGACTCGAACCATGGTTGACTACATGGGAGACCAGCGACATAGCCATTTTGCCAACTGCTGGTCTGATGTAAAATAATTTTTAAAAAAGTTTATTTGTGTATTTATGAGAGAGAAAGATTGATTTTTGTTAATTCTGAGAGAGCCCCCAAAGGGCCCCCAAAAGGGTCTTGATGCCACAAGACACTGCCTACTTTAGCCAGTCCCAGGTCACAGGCACAGATGTGCCCAACAGACTCAGGGGTTTCTCTGGACGTGAACCTGGAATCTTCCCATGTGGATCAGCCTTGCAGAGCATCATATTTTATAACTGTGACACCATCTCGCCCAGAGAAAGATGGATTAAAAAAATTAATTTATTTTATTTGTTATCAATATCTATTTTTTTTTTTAATTTGACCAGAGAGAGACACACAGAGAGAGAAGAAAAGAAAGAAGGAAAGCAAGGTGCCAGGTCGGGGACTCGAATGAGTCAGCCATGTAGGAGTCTAGTGCCGTAACTACTAGACCACCTACTGGCTCTGAAAGATTGATTTTGGACAGGATCTCACCATTTTTTTCTCCCCAGCTTTCCAGTTAACTGGGATTACAGGCTCCTGCCACAACTGACCTGTTCAGGTTGGGCCAGGATCCGAGCCTGGGCCTGCCATGTGGCCCCAGCCTCCTGTCAGTAGTGTGTGAGTAACATATGCCAATATGGCCGAGCATGGAATATTATTTAGTCTTTGTCTGAGGCCTGGGCCACCTCTTGGGTTAATAAATTTTCCGAGTTCAGTGCCTAGCACACAGATGAATCCAAAACCTGTTTGTTGACTGAATGAGTGAAGCTCTAATAACTCTGCTACCAGTAATAAAATATTGGCCCTTTACTGAGCACTTACCTTAGTGCCAGGCACTCTTAAAACACAGAAAGGGGGGACAGAAAAGGGCATGGTGGTTAAGACGCTGGACTCCCACATGGCCTATGGTGGTTCAAGTCCTGGACCCGGTAGCTTGAAAATCATGTCGGTGTGTGTGAGTGTGTGCCCACCATTCCAAGAGGAGAATGGAGGAGAAAGGACTGTGGCATGGCCATCCTCCTGGGGGAGGGGGCTGATTTCTCATTTCCCCTCTCTGTGTTTCTCTCCACGAGTGCAGGCATCCTATGGGGAAAAACAAATAAACAAACAAACTCAAAACAAAACATAACAGAAAAACACAGAAAGGACTCAGAAACGAGGCTGGCACTCGATATGTTTTCAGCATAAGCATTATTGCCTTTGGCCCTGCAGGGTCTCTCTGAGGTGACCACTTGTTTCGTAAATGAGAAACAAACTCAGAGAACATCATATTTCCCACCCAAGGTCACAAGCCGGCAGACGGTCTAGGTATGAAAGACTCTAAAACTTCATTTATTTTGCGAAACCTCTCCACATCAATGAAGCAAAAAGAGATAGTTCTAAGTCTTTTTTTTTTTCATTGAAATAAAACTAGTTTTTCCTGTTGGTTATTAAGAGGTATGTGCTTCTTCTGTTGGGTTGTCGGGAAAGTCATGACACATTTTGGCATAGAGAAATAAAGGAAAATGTGGCACGGCGGTCCTGACAACCTAATAGTAAAAATCAATCAATCAATCAATCAATCAGGCAGTAGAGAAAGTAAAGAGCTAATTTTTAAGAGTTCTTCAAATGTCCTCTCAAAATTCAGGGTGACTCCGCTCAAGGGTGGCAGGGTTTGGAAAACATGCCCCTTACCAGCTCCTCCTTCCAGGTTCTATCTCCTGATCCAGCCATACATGTGCTCCATCGATGACGCTTCCTTCTAGGTCTTTCCCTCCCCACCGATCTTCAGAGGTCTTGGGAGAGGGTGTGGAGGTGATAAAACTGTCTTCGCCTCCCGCCACCCCCCACCCGGGTTTCCCATAAAGCTTGTTTTCAGTTCCACAATCTGGCCTTCCCCACACTGGGCATGAGTTGTTTTTTTTTTTTGAGCATTGATTTCTTATTGGGACTTGGGTACAGGAAGGAAGTTGTCAAGTGAAACTGTTTTGTTTTTTTCCAGGAAGCTGAGCTAAGCCTCCTATCACTGGAGGAGCGAGAAGTAGCCGTGGAAAGGGCAGTACCGGACGGAGGCAGGTGGCCTGCTCTGAGCTCCCTGACTGGCTGCCCATGAGCTCAGCTCCTGGGAGACGTCATATATATGGCTGAGGCATCTTCCGAGACACTGAAGCCTGCCAGTGGCAACTGCAGCATCTCCTCCTTGGAAGAGCCAGACCGGACCCCTCCTCAGACACAGCTTCCAGCCAGCAGGAGACTGCCTAACACAGAGCCCAGGTGCAGAGGTCTCAGCTCCAGGCGTCCAGGACAGGAGTGACTGCCGTGGGCCGAGGTTGGTGGAATACCTTCTCTTGGGGCCTGCAACAGTGAGTAGGAATCGTGGGGACCCAAAATAAGGATAGACCTGGGAGTCCAACCCTCAGTCTAGTCCTAATTCTGCTTCTAGCTCGCTGGCTCCTCCCTGGGCCTCCTTCTCCTTGTCTCTAAAAAGATGGAGTAGGTTCAACCACGTGCTCTCAGTGAGGAGCTCTGAGCTAATGTAGACTGGAACTTCTCAACTCAAGTACCAGTCCTCTTCCTAGCAGTTTCCTGAGCACGGAGCTTCCTTGGGTCTCCAGGGAGCGGCAGCACGGGAGTGGGCTCCCATAGGGTGCTGCAGAGGGCGAGTTACGGACGAGGCAAAGAACGCAGGAACGGGAGCCTGCTGTTACACAGAGGGGTCGTTACTGACGGTTGGAATTAAGGTGCTAGGATTTGTAGGGTTTCTAGAAGGTGGTCTAAGGACAAGGATTCGTATGGAAAGAACTCCTGTGGACACTGCTCTCTCTGACGGGGACCCGGGGGTGGGGATGGATTCTAACTTGTCGCCCTGACTTGTTCCTCACACGGATTACGCTGCTGGTGGTCTCGGGAGAGGACAAGATGGGGTGGGGTGGGAGCACCCAGGAGCACAGCTGCTAGTGCTGGGTAGAGGGTGCCGTGATTGCTTTTGGAATTCTCCAGCTTTATGAGCGACACCCCCGCCTCCCCATCCCACGCCTGCCCCATAGTGCCCAAAGGCTCACCTGTAGGGAGTTCATTATTTTGCATGTCCAGGGTCAACCAAAGGTGCAAGTTCTTGACCTTCTGGAAAGTAGGCACTGGGTGTTCAGAGTGTTTGGTGGTGACCGTAAGGAGCAGGCCAATGATCCTGCCCAGCACTGACACTGAGCTGCGGTCAGCTCCACTCCTGGCAGGACACATGGCAGCTCCAGGTCCTCCTGTGACCTCAGGCCACATTCACAGAGGCATCACGTGCGCATCTTGCTGGGCTCTGCCAAGGTCGGCCCCGGTGGAACCCCCAGTTCATGCATGCCTGGGCCTCACTTTTTACATTTTTTAAAAAGAATTATTTGATTATCTCATTATTATTATTTATTTGACCAGAGAGACAGAAAGAGAGAGAGAAGGAAAATGAGAAAGCCAACCTCCAGGTCCAGGATTTGAACTGTAGATGGCCATGCGGGAGTCTAGCACCTTAACCACCATGCCATTTGCCAGTCCCAGGGACTCACCTTTTTAAACGGACAGGGACCAGCTTGGGAATCTCCAGGGAAAGGTGCCCAGGCCTATGATGGGATGGAAGCAATGCCATTTAAGATCACCAACAAACCTGGGCCATCAGTGCAGTGGACTGCAAGCAAAGATGCAGGGGTGAGGTGCCCTCCCCCAGGTGGGTGGAGGATGGCCCCACCGACTTCGCTCAGCCTGTTAGTGGGTCTTCCTTCAAGTCCAGGTTGGCCACAGTGGGATGCTGTGCCTAGAGGGTGGTGAGTTCCCTGTGGGAAGTGGCGTGGCAGAGGTTGCAGGTCTGCCCAGGAACAGGCATAAAGGGTTCCCATCTGCAGAAAGTGGGTTCTTTCCAACTCTAGGAACCTGTTATGGGTCCCACGAAAGAGCTTCCTTGGCTTGTTGCCAGCCAAGACCTGGGAGTTGGGCATGGGAGCAGGATGGGTCCAGCGTTGGAGGAGGAGAGGACCCCCTTGTCCCACCTTGTCTCACCTCTTCCCACCCTGTCTCACCTTGAAAGTTGAGGGGCTCCCCCAAGCTGCCTCTTGCTGCACTGCCTGTGGGGAGGTGGGGGCTGTGGATCATAGCTGCAGTCACAGGAGCCCAGGTTGAAGGTCTTGAGCTCTGATGGGCAGGATTCTTTCTGAAAATACTGAGTGGATGGTGCGTGGGGCCACCTGTGCCCGTGAGAAGTCGGGCATGAGCTCAGGCTGCAGCCCTTGGCCCTCCAGCTGGTCGACTGGTGATCTTGGAGCCCCACCTGTGTTCCCAACCTGCCTCTGGGGCGTGGGGTCTACCTGGGGCACATTGAGATGGTGACAGTGTGCACAGGTCACAGCATAGCGGGGAGGGGCACGTGGATGCAGTTGTCTCCATCAGTGTGAATAGACTGCTTGCCTCTGAGGCCTCACGTGTGTGTGCATGCGTGCATGTGTACGTGCATGCGTGCCCGTGTGCCTACAGTTCCTAGATGTCTCTTGGTGTAGGAGAGAGAAGTCAGGGTTTAGAATCCGGCGTGGACTTGGGTCCAGCTCTCCACTTCCCAGCTGCAGGACCTTGGGCAAGTCCGTTAATGATTCCCACCGCTTAGCCTGAGTCACGGGGTCGTGACCAAGGTGAGATGAGATAATATAGACGAAGGGGCTTTCCGGGTGCCGTGTGGCAGGGTAAGGGTGAACTGGTCTGTGGTCCGGCGTGTCTGTGTATCGTTTACTCATTCCACAAACACCGACAGTCTCCTGAGCCCTGGGGATATAGCAGGGATCTGGCAGGTTCCAGTGCTCTCTCTTGGAACCTAGGGAAAGCCAACGGCAAGGAGCGTACTTGGTCACATAGTTACTTCTTCTCTTGGGACAGGAAAAAACAGGGTATCCTGAGTCCCTGAAGATGTGTGGGGTGCATGAAGGTGTTCCTGTGACACGTGGGTGGCTGCAGATGTTGCCTATGGGTCCAGGTGTGTGGCTTGCACTCTGAGTATCCGTTTGGGTGTGCAGCAGGTCAGCCACTTTTAAAATTTAAAAAAAAAAAATTATTTCCGTTCTGCTGGAGGGCACCTGTGCTTTGCAGGAGAGAGACAGGGGGAGAGTGAGAAAACACCCCCTGGGGATGGTCACACCACAGTCCCGTCTTCTCATCTCTCCCTCGTTTTGGGATTTGGGGCACACACGCATGTGCACTGGCATGTTTTTCCAGCCCACGTGGCCTGGACTGGAACTACGCAAACGCCCATGTGGGATCCAGCCGCCTCGCTGCCGCCGCGGGCTAGTCAGGCTTTGTTAGATACTGTTGTTGAAGTATAGGGTGGAGGAGGAAGTGGCAGTGTCTCTAGGAAACGGCCCCAGTTTGAGTTCTGCGCAGGATGGACAGAGAACAGCACAGCGTGAAGACGATAGTGCACACTCGGGAAATACACGAAACCCAGACGCCGTCTTGGGAAAACCAGGCTGGCTTCCTGCTGCACGCTCAGCCCCGCGCTCTCTCTGGTTGTTTGCTGTTACTGTGAAGCACGTCACCCGTGTGTGTCATGTCTTATCAGGAGTCCTGTGATCTGCAGGTCACTGGGGTATTTCTGAGCCGATCAGGACTTTGCTCTGAAATGATTCTCCACCAAGGCCGTAAACAAGTTTACGAGAGCAGCTGGGTTTCCATGCCATGAGGCTGTGCTGCTGTATCGGGGTTGCTGGTCTGGGAGCAGGTCTCGGGCTGGGAGGGACTCCCCGATAGGTCAAGTGTGGGCGCACACCTCGGGCTCAATGAGATAGCAAAGAACTGGAAAAGAAAGGTTTGCTTTGGTGGGTTCTGGATAAACAGAATTTTACACTCAGAAAGTCTAGAAAGATGGAATTTTGGCACATATAAAGTTGCCCTTGTTTTTTATTCAATAGGTCTGGGTGGGCATTTTCTTCATCTTCCTCTTGTACTTCTTTCTCCTCCTCCTTTATTTTTGAAGAATTATTTATTTCTATTTATTATTATCATTAAATTTGCTACAAGGCACACACGCTCACCAGAGAGAGAGAGAGAAAGTGAGAAAGCAAGTCACCAGGTCTAGGACTTGAACAGTAGTCAGCCATGTGAGAGTCCAGTTCCTTAACCATCATGCCACCTGCTGGCCCCCTTTTCTTTCTTTCCTTTCCCTTTCCCTTTTCTCTCTTTTATTTTTTCTTCTCTTGGGGCCTAGAGACTTTCAAAGTATGAGGCTGTGGGGCCAGCAGGTGGTGTAGTGGTTAAGGTGCTGGACTCATACTTGGCTGAGCACGGTTTGGGTCCCAGACCTGCTGACTTCAAGCTCACACTGGGTGCATGTGTATACATGCCCAAAATCCCAAGAGGACATGGAGGAGAAGAGATTGCAGCATGGCCAGTCCCCTGACCCGGGGGTGATTTCTCACTTTCTGTCTCTTTGTCTCTCTGATGAGTACATGTACCCTTTAGCAAGAAATCTTTTTTTTTTTTTTTTTAAAGTATGAGGACACACTTGAGAGGGTTCTTCAAGTGTCTCCCTGGAGGTGGGGGGTTCTACTCTCCCTGGGTGTCTACATGCTCAGTCTCTGGCCTAGAGCAGGAAGAGACTCTCTGGGACAGCCCAGGGGAGCAGCGGGCAGAGGGAAGGGCCGGAGCTCAGTTGCAGCCGCAGAGAGAAGCCCGGCCAGGGAAGGAGTAGCTGTGGGCTGGAGGCTGCAGCACCCTTAGAGAGGATGAGGACGAGAATGAGGAAGACTTGGGGGGCCCCAGCACCTTTCGCCACGGGGAAACCGCTGGTTAGCTAAGGCTGCACGCCACACGCCACCCTCCCTGCCTGCGGGGCTGCAGTGGCTGCGCATTGTTCTCCTTTCCGTGGCTTCTCGCACCTCCCTCTGGGCACGGTTCTTCCAGGGAAGGGGTGGGTGGAGGTGACCAAATAAAAGCAGTTGTTTCGTTTCGTTTTGTTGACATCAAGAGGAAAAGCCATTTGCTGGCGGAATGGTGATGTTCTTATCAGAAGTAGCAGCGAGTCCTTTGGATGTGGTAGAGGATTCCGTGACCATCGGAAACGGTGAAAGCTGTTTCCATAGCAATGAGCGTTGGCAAAGAGCTCGGCGCCTCTCCCACTAGCTGGGCAAGGCTGCCCTGGCCGGGTTGAGCCGCGCTGGCGCAGGAGAGGCTGGTCAGGACAAGGACACGCTGCGTCAGCTGGGTGGGTCACCGAGCAGCTCTCTGCCAGCCCCCTCCCATTTGCCCCACCCCTGGACCGGATGGAAGAGGCAGAGAACCCCGACACCGTTTGGTGAACATTTCTGGCTTACATTCCTTGGCGCTTAGAATCAAACAGACCTGCAGCCTAAATTTATCTTCAGACCGTGTGCTGCCAAAGAGCGGCGACAGGGATGGCGCGTCACCGCCGTCGCCGCGCACTCACGGCCGCCCCCTTGGCCGTTTGAAGAAGACCAGAATATTCTCTCCGAGGGCTCACGCTGCACCCGCTCACGCTTATTCCCTAGCACTGAGCGTGATTCCTGGCGCACCGTGGGCGCGTGTTAAATGCGCCTTGTAAGAAATATCCGAGAACAAAGGCAGAGGCTGTCTCCTGGTTTCTCCTTCCCCGCCTGCACATCTTTCAGAAGCACCGCCACAGGCAGTCAGCCTCCGGGGCTTCCAATATTAGCCCGTTTTCATGCGGGGCACAGGCTGGACGGCTGAGCGTCTCCACCTGGCCCAGATGTTTCTTCCCAGCAACGTTAAACAACAGAACGGCCTCCCCCTTCCCGGCCGCTATGTCATGGCCTCCAGGGCTGTCTCCTGTGTACACCCAGCGGTGCTGTGGTCCCGATGTCCTCTGGCAGAAGCCAGTGGGCCGGCAGCTCCATCCCATCCTTCTCCCTAGCCCGGTGCTGGGAGGTGGAAAGGCACCCTGAGTGTCCCCACCACCTCTGTCTCCTCATGTCTCTTCTGCCCTCTGCATCTTTCCTACATTCCCACAAATCCCACAACATCTGAAATCACAATGATATTTTTTAATTGCCAAAGAGCTCATGTGTCCTCCAGATAGAGAGATAGTGAAAGGGAGAGAGAGCACTTCCCCAGTGAGGTGTGGTCGTGCTGCATTCCCTTCCCTTGTTTTCATCCTGTTGGGGTTTGGGGCGTGCAGGCCTGTGCTTGTGTTTCTCAAGCTGCCAAGGCCAGGACTCGAACCATGAGGCTGACCAAGTAGGATCCAGCTCCATAACCACTCGGCTACAGGGCTGGCAATGACAGATTCTTATATCTGCCTCTAAGCTGAAATAGCACAGCGATGGCAACATTTTAGAGTAAAGGAGTCAGTGAAGGCAGGGACATGACAGAAATGCGCAGTTTACAGCCCCATCACTAAACGGTACGGTACTCGGGTCCACGCATGCGAAAGCCACAATGACCAATCGGGGCAGGCAGCCCAGGGGCCTGAACGCCACAGGAATCTGGGAGCTTAGGTTCGGGATCCAAATCCGTATATACACACACATTTCCTAAATTTCACCCGAGTGGTGGATTTCTGAACAACTTTGGGAAAAGCCCAGGAATTTCAGATTACAGACTGAGTGCTCACACTCGGGCCTGCATACAGGGCTGCCCAGAAGGAGGTTCTGTCTGGTCCCTCGGCGGTGGCCTCATGCTGCTGGGACTGGATGGACCCGGCCTGGCCCAGTCACACTTCCCGTCGGCGACCCACACACCCAGGCTGCGCGCATCGTCCAGTGGCTAAGCGTCCGTGCCACGCACCTGCTCACTCACTGAACACCGTCTTTCGAGGGCCAGGGATCCGCTCTCAGGGTACGAGACCCAGCGATGTAGACACGGGAGGGAGGGTTGCCTGAGAAACTAAAATAAATAGGCACCGCCACACGCCATCAGGTCAGGGGAGGTAGAGGGACGCGGAGCAGTCATGGGTGGAGAGAGGGGGTCTCTGGCAGGGCGACCCTTGAGCAGAGCCCCGAGGAAGTGAGGGAACCACTGGGGAGGGTGGTTTAGAAGGCAGGACCCGGTGGGGAAGGCTCCCAGTGGGGGGCCTGAGGGAGGACAAGCCGGACGGGGTGCGGAGGCCTGAGGGACGGGGTGGGAGAGGATGAGGCGGGCGTGTGGGCTGCAGCGTTGGATGGACTTGGACTCTGGGTGAAAGGGGAGCCCCTGCAGGCAGAGAGTGACCAGCACTGGCTTACTCTTTTATTATTATTATTTTTTAAGTTTATTTCCGATGGAGCATCTGCCGGGCTCAAGGAAAACTTCAGCAGACAGGAGAGCGGAGTCCCTGGACAGGTCGCACGCCCCCAGGAAGGGCTCGGAGTCCTGGAACTGCCAGTGCATTTCTCTGCCCACCGCCCCCGCCAGGAGGGCACTTCGCCGCACAGCCAGCGACGAGGCCATGCGTCCCCAGAGCCCAGAGCAGCCTGCAGAGGCGCAGGGCCCCACGGTTGCAGCCCTCACCGTGGAGGAGAGCATGGGGTTTCTCTCCAGTGAGCAGCAGCCCCCGCAAGATGCCAAGAAGGACAAGGCCCAGAAAGGGTGGCTGAAGATGGTGCTGAACTTCTTCCTGAGGAATGGGCACGAAGAGCCCAAAGAAAAGGTCAGCAGGAGGCCGAAGGGGAAGGAGGGCCTCCCCCTGCCCTCGGAGACCCCGGAGGCAGCAGGGGAGCAAGCCATCAGTAGGAAAGCCCACGAGAAGAAGGCCAGCCGCAAGAAGCACAGTCAGAAGAAGCACTCTGCTGAGGAAACCCCGGGTGCTCAAGATCAGGAGGCGAGAGGCCAAGGGACAGGGCTGCCCGGGACGGCTGCTGTCCTGCGCTCCCGGGAGGCTGGCCAGGGCCCCACAGGCAGGGGTGAGCAGACCCTAGGTAATCCTCGGGGGCTGGGGTGCTCAAAGTTGGCTCTTGAATCCGCTGAACAGCTGGGGCCTGGCAGGGGAGAGCCGTCAGCACGGACCCCTGTGACATCTCTTTGGGGTAGAACAGCTCCGTGGCTGGGGCTCAAGTCCGACCCTGGCTCCATCCCTCACTCCTCTGTGGCCTGGGCTGACGACTCCTCGCTGAGCCTCGATGTTCTTTTCCACCAATAAAATGGAGACACAGCAGGTGCTGTCTCATGGGCGGCATGGACTGCGTGAAAGTGACCGGTCCGTGGTAGTGGTGACTGTTCGGTGCTGCAGTGTGATGAGCACAGACCAAGGAGAGATGGGGTACAGTGGGGACAGCGGGGGAGAGGGAGGCACTAGCCCTCCTCCTGCCGGCCCACACGTGGCTGCTGGGTGCTGGCTCTAGGCCTCAGTTCTAGACCTGCTCCATTCGGGAATCTGAGCTTGTGACCTTGAGCAAGTGGCTGCCCCCTCTGGGCCTTTGCGTCGTCATTTGTGCAATGCGGGGACTGGTGTGCAAGGTGCCTTCCCCTCCTGCCTCCTGGGAGGCCGGGGCCAAATGCCCACTGGGGGAGACAGAGCTTGCCCTGCAGCTCCCAACGCACTGTGCTTTCCAGGGGGAGGTGACATCAGGGGGTGGGAAGATGAAAAGGGTGTCTGGCAGTTTCTTTGCAAGTCAAAAACTTGGCGACTGATTTTTTCGTTGGGCCTAGAGCTGCCTACAGCAGGGCTCATGGTGCTGAGTTCTGAGCGGTTCCCCTGTGCTGAGTACGGAGGTCAGGAGCACGTCACTGACACGCTCACGCGCTTTCTTCCATGTTGCAGGTGGGGAAGACGCTGATCCCCCCCAGTCCTCGCTGCCCGATGGGGCTGGTGCTGGAGCCTGGGACAGCTCTGCCCAGGCCACGGTGCACCCGCGAGAAGAAGAGCTCAGGAAGCTTGACAGTGAGTCAGAGCCCGAGTCCTACTCTGTCCTTGGCTGGGAGGCTTGGCTCTGACTGCGTGTTGGGGCCGGGGTGGTGGCTCTGATAGCCGCTCTGCTCGGGTCTTCCTGGAGTCTTCTAGGGTTTCCGCCACCTTCACTTGTTTTAGCGTTTCATAGAGGGAGTTTTAGGGGTCGGAAAAGATGTTTCCAGCCTTAGGTGTTAATGGGAATGGATGGGACTTTTCTTTCTTTCTTTCTTTCTTTCTCTCTCTCTCTCTCTCTCTTTCTTTCTTTCTCTCTCTCTCTCTCTCTCTCTCTCTTTCTTTCTTTCTTTTTCTTTCTTTCTTCTTTCTTTCTTTTTTGCTAGAGGGCATGCGCTCGTGCCAGAGAGAGACAGAGACAGAGAGGGGAAGAAGAGGATAAAATACTCCCCATGGGGAATGGTCACGCTGCAATCCTGTCTCCTCTCTCTCTCCTTCCCTTTGGGATTCGGGTACACACAAGCACACCTGCCCAGCGTGTTCCTCACGCCATCAGGTCTGGGACTTGAACTGCACATCTGGCCATGTGACATCCAGTCACCTTCACCATCATGCCATGTGGGATTCAACACTTTAGCAGGTGGAGTTGGGGTTAAAGTGCTGAATCCCACGTGGCTGACTCCAGGGTTTGAGTCCCAGATCTGGTGGCTCGAAAAACACTCCAGACATGTGGGTGCCCAAAATCCCCAGAGGAGAATGGAGGGGAAGGATTGTGGCATAGCCATCCCCCGCCCCCCCGGGGGTGATTTCTCACCCCTTAGTCTTCTTTCCTGCAAACACATGCACCCTCTGGCCAAAAAAAATCTAAAAATCTAAAAAAAATTCTAAATCATATGTAGCAGAGTAGAAAGAATAGTTCAATGCACACGTGTGGGCTCCAAACTGTTAGCGGCCTGCCGATCTGCATGTGTGTAGCGAGTGTATGTCTATAACTTCATTGCTAAACCACGTTAGAGTCAGACGACGCTTCATCTCCAGAGACTTACACATCTCTGAGAAACAGGCAGTCTCTGTGCAACCACACGATCGTGACTGCTTCTAATAATCCGTAATACCTTCTTATCTCATTCCCTATACAAAAAAGAGGGCATTTTTGGGGAGAGGTTTTTGCTATAGGGCGTGTGCGCTCACCAGAAAGACAGAGAGAGACAGAGAGACAGAAAGCGAGAAATCACCACCCCCCCCAGGCGGGGGGGATGACCACACCACAATCCCTTCTCCTCCATTCTCCTCTCGGGATCTTGGGCACGCACGCACACACGCCCGACATGAGTTTAAGCCATCAAGTCTGGGACTCAAACCGCGGTCAACTACATGGGAGTCCAGTGACATAGACATTACTCCAGTTGCTGGTCCCGAGGACATATTTTGAAAGATAGGAAATACATCTGTCACAGGATAACCAAAGATGCTTAGTTATTTTGCAGGATGTCTAGTTATTGTACACGTGAGTCATTTTCTCACAGGTCAGGGGACCCGCTGGTAGACGGAATGAAGGAACAAAAGCAGAGCAGGATTTCCAAGTGCGAGAGAAGTGTGGGGGAGAACGAGAGAAGTGTGGGGGAGAGTGCTGTTTGCAAATCCTTTCTTGTAAACTGATCGTTAGCAGCCAGACCAGGGTCCTTGAGGAGACTGACAGGGGTATCAGAGGAGCCCTGTGGATACCGTCCTTTGGGGCGTCTCCATAAGGACTGGGAGTGTGGCTGAGACGTCACCACGGTGGGCTCTCTGTGCCATGCCTGCTGACGGCCTGCACCTTCGACAGGCCGGGTAGCCACCCTTTCCCCACTGGAATATTGCGGGTTGGAAGATCAGCATTAGCCTTGCCAAGTTTTTTCAAGCCTGGCCTCCCATCTGATGGCCCGACAGCCTTCTGAGAGAGTCAAGACAGGAATCATGATCACATTTCACAGGGAAAGTGATGAAAGCCCAGAGAGGTTAAGACACTTACCCAGGGTCACACAGCTGACCAGGCCCGAAGCAGATATTCACAGATGTGTGAAGTCCAGAGGAAACGGGGGAGGCACAGCCTGGAAGGCTGACCTGAAATCCTGCCTATAATGCCATGCTTTGGCACAGCACCCTTCCCCTGTGGCTCTTCCGGCCCTCTCTCAGGACGGCCCCGGCGGGGTGGTGCTTTCCCCACTTTGGGGGCCTGAGCTGCTGTGTGAAGAGGCCCCTCCCTTAAGACGGGAAGTTCAAGTTGACGTCAGGAGCCGGGTCACCGAGGGCGGGCTGCCTGCGTGCTCGGGAGGCGTGACGGGGCGTGCGCTCTCTTGCAGAGGACGCCATCATCCAGATGATTGTGGAGCTGCTCAGAAGAGTGGGAGACCAGTGGGAGGAAGAGGTGAGGAGCAGGCTCTGCTGCACAGATCCCTGAGGGTCCTTCTCCCAGTTCAGGCCCTGCCTGTCCTGCCTGGCCCCGTCCCTCCCTCCCTGGCACCCTCCCGCTCTCCAGACCCCGCCCTCCCGTCTCCCAGGGCCACCCGGTGGTGCTTGGTGCTTTTCCTCTCCTCAAGGTCGTCTCTGACTCGGTCTCTCTCCTCTCCCACAGCAGCTTCAGGCCTCTCAGTCAGAGGCGCGTCTGCAAAAGCGAATCCCACCCCTAGTCAGCAGGAGGAGATCCAGCAAGAGGGGCCAGCCTCACAAGAAACTGAGCTTCGAGGAGCCCAAGGGGGCGGGGGCTGCCCAACTCCAGGGCCCAGAGGCCGGGCCACCCAGGAGGCCCACCTTGCTGTCCCTGCACGTTGGCAGCCAGCGGCCCTCCTTCTCCAGCAGCCCTGGTAAGTGAATGGGCTGGCAGTTGCCATAGCAACATGGCAGCTGCTTCCAATTCTGGAACCTTCTGCAGGGCTGGAATTGGCCATTGAAAGGGTGCCATCCTTTCTGACTTCCGCACCCAGTCCTGAGAGGTATGAGGAGGGTTGTGGAAGGCCACTTGGAGCCTCAGCCTCCACGCCCAGGCAGGGGGAGAGCGTGGGCAGGAAGGGACTGGAGCCAGTGAGGCAGGAGACCTGGGAGCTGAGCCATAGTCTCTCTGTCGTCCTCCATCTCTGCCTCGGTTTCCTCCCCTGTACGATGAGACACCTCCCTACTGCGTATTTATGTCTCAATCAGTCCTCAATGCCAGTCTCAGGAAGTATGATTATTATTCCCGTTTTCCAGAGGAGGGAACTGAGGCTCAGGGAGGTAACACGATGCATTGGAACAGGGACGGAGCCAGATTAGACAGACAGGATGAGACAGACCGTGTCTTGTCTTACGGCTGCCAGGGAGGAAGAGCCACTGGGTCATCCTGGTCGGGGGTTTATATCTTAGGGAGAGGGCTGTGCCTAGCTCCAAGGAGTGGCTCGTCAGGGGTGAATTTCAGGCCTGGGATGGGGGAGAGTTTTCTTGTAGGGGGACTCTAGCTGTGACCATTCATTCACGCTGAGAAATCAGGCATCTACTCTCAGCCTGTGGGTGGAGCCAACGTGGGGGAGGAGTGCTGGGAAGCCAGGTCTGTGGACCGCAGAGCGATAAGGGAGTTGGTCTGGGTCAGGAAACCCAAGCCACGGCCCTGCCCAGCACCTGGCCTCTCACCAGCCGGGCCTCCGAGTGATTTCGAGTGATCTTGCCGCGGCCCCCACATCAGAGCCTGTGCCGGCTTCCGTGCAAGAACACCTTCAGCAAGGCCTGGACCACCCACAGTTTCCTTTTGCTTCTCAGGCTCGGAAGAACCCCAAGTCCCAGAGGCCCTGTCTCCGGACGGTGGGAGCCTGAGCCCTCCAGAGCTTCCCACCCAGACAGGAAGCGGGGAACCTGAAGAGGAGCTGCACCTGGACAGAGCCTCGGAATACAGTCAGTTCCCCTCGAATTTTCTCTTGGGGAACTGCTGGCCTGACTCCTTGGGAACCTTGGGAAAAGTCCAGCCTGGGGAGAAACATGGCCCCAAGGAACCCAAGAGGGCTGGGCTGCAGGGGCCGCCAGCCCAGGGGGCTCAGCTTTCTGCTCTGTCGGTGGCCCGACTCCTCCACTTGCAGAAGGGAAACGGAGCCAGGCAGAATCAGTGACCTCTCCAGACGCCGTCGGAGTACAGCAGGCGGTGGAGGTCCCACAGGGCCCCGAGCACGGGCCCTGAGCACAGGCCCGAGCCAGACTGCCCAGCTGGGGCCTTGGTGTGATCTGGCCACGGTGCCCGCATCTGCGCCATACTCTGAGCCTCGTCTAATGACAATGGCAACGGCGCTTGGGGAGGCAGGTGTGAGGTGACAGGAGGAAAGCCCTGGGCCAATGGGGAGATCTCCAGAGTTCTGGGTTTGAATCTGAGTCCTGACTCCTCCAAGCTGTGTGAACTTGGACAAGGCCCTTCATCGTGGGGCTCAGTTTTCCCGTCTGTAAACAGGGACAACAGTACCTGCTTCCTAGGGTTGTCAGAGGCACTGGGCCAGCCAACAGCTGCATGTGTTTGGAGCAGGGCCTGTGGGTGACTCACAGTACTAGGGGCCATTTATTGCTGTTAGCAGGAGAAGAGGACAGGAGGGGAATGGGGCCACAGGAGGGAAGGTAGCTGTTGTCACTACCGATAGAATTTTTTATTGGCACTGCCGGGCCTAGGTCTACGATCATTGTCAGTTCTGCAAGTCTAAAGATACGTGTAAAGAGCCCTGCTTGCCTGCATTTCACAGAAAATGTGCTTGGAAGGGGAGCTGGGAGGACTCTGTGCTAGACCTGGAGGCAGATGTAGGGGAAGATCTGTGGGGAACAGGTGGTTCCAGATGGCCTCAGAGCACCTTCTCCTGCAAGCAGGAGCCACTGGTCTGCTTGTAGGCTCTCACTGGGGACCACAAAACCAGCTCTGCCTCTGACAGCCCCGGAGGAGCTGGGGTGCAAGCCCTGGTCTGACCCGAGAATCACTTGGGCCTTAGGAAAGGAGGGCTGACCACGGGAAGCCTTTCTAAGCAAGCACTTCCATCTTTTTTAGAAGAGTTCATCCAGAAGATCATTGCTCTACTCCAAGATGCGGAAGAGCAGGAGAGTGAGAAGGTGAGGAACGTGTAACCCTGACCCTCGCAGCGGACACCCCACCCTCCCTGACAAAACTTCCCGGCCCTCCCAACCCAACTTCTCCCCCCTTCCAGAAGCCTCCCCGGCACTCCTACCACACTGGTACCCCAGGCCCAGCCTCAGTCCCCTCTTCTCCGGGCTATGTCCTCCAGCCTGCAGAGGGTCTGTCCCCAGCTCACCTGCAGTCTCCTCAAGGCCAGGGGCCCTGCCTCAGTTTCTCTTCTTTCACCCACAGCAACCTCAAGTCCAGGAAGCAGAAGTGGCTGCAGAAAACCCAGCCCCAGTGTGCAGGAGGAAATCCCAAGAGAGAAAGTCCAGCCTCAAGAGAGCCTTTTCTTATAAGAAACATGGCCCCAAGGAACCCAAGAGGGTGGGGTCTGCAAGGGCTACCAGCCCGGACACCCGGCCGACCAAGAGGCCCAGCTTGCTGTGTGTTGGCGGCCATCGGTCCTCCATCTCCAGCAGCTCTGGTGAGCAGGCCAGGCGTTGTCATGGTAATGGAGGCTCCTCGAGGGCCGGGATGGCCGCTGTGTGGGTGTCACCTTCAGGCCTGGTTCCTGCTTTCTGCTCTGAGCGGAGTGGGGAGTATGAGAGGGCAGGAGAGAGGGGCTGGTGGCCAGCAGGACCCACCGCCCACAACACACACCTTCCCATCCCGTGCCACACAGCCACATCGAGGCTGGCGTGAGCTCGGTGCATGGCACAGCTGATACGTCACATTACTCGGACCCAGGCCTGAGGAAGTTCCGAATGGTCCAGGCCTGCTTTTCACTATGCCAGAGCGCAAGGACCACGGGGGTGTCATGATTTCCCTGGCATTTACGGAGGGCCTGCTACAATACATGCCTCTCATGCAGGCTAGCTTATTTAACCTGCTCACGATCCGGGCAGGCCAACCTTATTACTCCCCTGTGACAGGCGAAGGGACCTGGCGAAGCCTCACAGAGTTAGAGGGAAGGTGGTTCCCTTGGAAGAATCATGCCTGTCTGCTTTTCAACTGCCCCACTCCCAGACCGAGGAGGCAGGCAGTGTTGGGGATGGAGGAAGAGGGAAATTTCTGGAGAGGGCAGAAAGCACGGTGACTTCCTCTGGGGGTGGGTGGGTGGGCAAGGAACTCCTGGGACCAGGACCCCTCCTGTGCCTGTGCCTTTGAATAGCCGTTCATCAAGCCTAACCCAGCTCTCGCGTGTGGTTTGAGTCAGGTGCAAAGCTCTCAGAGCAACTGTGTTTCGCCCTCAGGTCCAGAAGGTCTTGAGTTCCAGGAGCCCTTGGCTGCAGAAGGGGGACCGGCTGGGTTGTCAGAAGTATGCTCCCAGACCAGAAGCCACAGGCCAGAAGGGGGACCTCCGCTGGATGAAGCCTGTGAATCCAGTTAGTACCACCCCTGCCCTCCCTGGGATGGCCTGTCTCGTCTTCTGCATGGATCACACTGAATAGGGAATAATTCCAAGGAGGAACTGAGAAGGCAGCTGACAGATACCCCAGGAGACGCCTGAGTGGGAGCAGAGGCTTAGGCTGGGCCTTAAAACTGGGTCAGAGGACAGGGGTGCAGGAGAGCGTTGATCAGAAGAGGACACCCGTCTACTCTGCAGGAGACACGGTGTAGCCCCTCCACAGTAGTACCCGTGCTCTGGAGCTGTAACAGTGCAGTGTGGGTAAACAGGCTCTATGAAGGGAAAAAACCCTGATTTGTAGCATTTGCAGATTTCCATGACCCGAATATTTCCACCATGGCTGAGCTCAAGCTGCCAAAGGTTATAGAAACTGGGACCAGGGTCCCTCTTGTGCCCGTGCCTTTGAACAGCTGTTCGTCAGGCCTAACCCAGCTCTTGCGTGCACGGGAACCAGTAGATGACGTAAAGGTTTCGTCGCTGGACTCCCATGTAGTGGACCGCGGCTGAATGTCGGACCCGGCACACACACGGGATGTGAATCCTGAGAGGAGAATGGAGGAGAGGGGCTTGCTGTGTGGCCATACCCCTGGGGAGTGATTTCTCGCCATCTCTGTCTCTCTCTGTCTTTCTGGTGAGCACATGTGCCCTATAGCAAAAATCTCTTTTAAAACAAACAAACAAACAAACAAACAAAAACACTGGTGCATGAATTTCTGGAATATTTACAATGAACCTAGTATGAGCAGGCCCAGCACCCCACTGCTTGTAACCCACGGCTCCGTGTCTGGAGCACACCCCCTCCTTGCATTCTGATGAGCTGCTTCTGGTCCAGATCTCCATCCTGGACACACTATTCAGTAGCCTGGGGAGGGGAAATTGGAAGGCCTCGGTTTCCCCGTCCATGAAATAGAGCTGAGTGCTACAGGGTACAGGCGAGGCTCTGCCACCCAGAGGGCCTTCGGTTTCTTTTCTTTTTCCATTTCTTATTTAATTATTTGTTTTTTTGGTGTGTGTTTGTTTGCCATAGGACACATGCACTCACCAGAGAGAGAGAAATTGAAAGTGAGAAATCACCCTCCAGGGGGGATGGCCATGCCACAGTCCCTTCTCCTCCATTCTCCTCTCGGGATTTTGGGCACGCGCGCGCACACACACACACACATATGCGCCTGTGTGACTTTCAGGCTCCTGGGTCCCGGACTCAAACTGTGCAGTCACCCATTTGGATACACTGCTTTAACCTTCACACCACCTGCTGGCCCAAGTTCATTCGTTCGTTCTTTCTTCTCTTTTTCTTTCTTTTCTCCTTTTGGAGAGATATTTGCTAGAGGGCACATGTGTTCCCCAGAGACATAGAGGGAAAGTGAGAACTCCCCCCCAGGGCGGATGGCCATGCCACAGCCCTTCTCCTCCATTCTCCTCTCGGGATTTTGGGCAAGCTCACAGGCACCCGGGGTGAGTTTCAAGCCGCCGGGTCTGGGACTGGAGCCATGTCGACCGTGTGGGAGTCCAGCGCCTTAACCGCTATCCCACCCGATGGCCTCGAGTCCCTCCTATTTCCATAAGGCAAACCCAAACAAAGCTCCCATGCTCCCGCCCTCGTTTAAGGAAGGCTGTTCTTTGCCCCTCACAGCTAGGCTGCAGGCTGTGTTCTAGAGGGTCTGCTCTGTCACTGCATGGGTGTGCTGTGGCGGCGCCTTCCGGCCGGGGGGACCCGGGTGTCCCCCACCGCGGCCGCTCAGTGCTGCTTTGCTTTCCTTAGAGGAGCGCATCATCCAGAAGCTGGTGGCCCTTCTCCAGGAAGTGGACGGCAAGCTGGGCAAGCAGGTGAGCACCGTCCCCCCTCCCCTGGGCACCCCGGGGCCTCCTGGTTCCCACCTACCCAACTGAGGCCTGGGCTTGCGTCTCTGGGTGACTCGGTGCGTGTCCTGTAACCTCTCTGAGCCTTGGTTTCCTCTTTTGCAAAACAAGCAATAAATACCTTTTTGGCCAAATGTAATGCCTACCTATAAAAGTCCAGACGGGCAGTAGAAGTGGGGAATGTTATTCTTTTCTTTAGAGAATTGTTTTATTTAACTTTATTTATTTATTTACTTTAAATTTGACCAGAGAAGAACAGAGTGAAAGAGAGAGGGGGAAAGTGAGAAAGCAAGTCCCCAACTCCAGGACTGGAACTGTGGTTGGCCATGTGGGAGTCCAGGCCCTTAGCCACCACGCCACCCACTGGCCCCAGGAATGTTCATTTAAAATAATATAATGCTCATGTACCCCCCCACCCCCCTGCCAGCCGGGGCATCCCCCATTCAAATCTTCCTTTCAAGTTGAGCTTGTGTCTCTCCCTGGAAGCTTCTCCCAAGATGCTCTCGGTCTTTGCAATCCCCAGTTCATTCTCCTGGTCACGCACTCCAGCATTTGCATGGTCTCCAATTCTTTCAAATTGTTCAATTTCCTCCTCTGCTGGGTAGCCCGTCACCTAAGGTCGCTTCCCTTTGTGAAATGTGGTCTACTTGGAGAGAGACGCAGATCACACATGAGGAGGACAGGTGTGGCTGAGCCATGCGTGTAGCCAGTGTCGTCCATGCCTCCCTCACTACACAGTCGCAGCGGCCCAGTGTCAGCGACCCGCACCTGCATCCTCTGCCCGAGGACTCGGAGCCTTGCCATCCACGTAGTAGGCAGAGCTAACGCCCTTCACTCTGCAAGAGCGGCCCTCAGCAGGCTGGCGGGAGTCGGTGTCTACAGTCCCAGCTCCCAGCCCTTGGCGTTGTAACTGGAGTGCGCTGGCCCCCAGAGCGCCCTGCGGGGATTAATCCCCAGTTGCTGCCTGTGTGGGCTGCCTCCTCATCCTTGTCCACATTCTCCCTTCCGCCATTAATATTTCCCGAGGTCACTTAACAAATAGACCGCTGGGATCCAAATCCTTGGCTGTGGGTCTGCCTCTGAGAGGACCCGACCTAACACATAGAGGGATGAAGAGGAGGGAGCTTGCGGGAGGAGCTTTAGAGTAGTAATCAGATGCATGCCTCACCTACTCTGCAATGCACGTTTTACACAAGCCATCCCCTGTCATTCCCCTCCCCTCGACACTCCTGGGGGTGGAGGAGAGCATTTCCATTGCACTGATGAGCAAACCCAGGCTCAGAGAGGTCCTGTGGCTAGTAAGTGCTACGTAAGCACCAGTTACCGGAGTCTCCGAGTCTCCGCGCTCCCCGCCGCCCGCTTCCTCCTGCTGCTTTAGGTGGACCTTGCAGAAGATTCTGAGCAGCTGGGGAGGGGGGTAAAGGGGCTTACAAAGGGGAGCTCATTGCGGGGACAATGAGGTGCCCCATCTGGCTTTGTGGAGTCGGGGAGGGGCAGCGGTGGGAGGGACCGACCAGCCACACTAAAGGCCTGCCTTCGCTTCTGCTTCCAGATCAGGCGATACCCCAGCTTTAAGAGGTTTTTTTATGAGTTCTCAGACGCCTCCCTCAGAAAGCTGGTAGCCACCCTGCGCAGCCAGGCGACCCACACCGCCCAGCCCGACAGGAACTTCGTCAGGAGACTCTTCCCATTCAGCTTCGGTTCGGCTACCAAGTTTCCTGGCAACAACACGCACGCGGTCTGCAGCCTCATGGGGCTCAGAGGCCGCCACGGCAGACCCGATTACGTCTACTTCCCGTACAAGGAGGGCTCGCCGGTGAGCTGGGGGGCAGAGGGGGGAACCGGTGATGACAGGCTCCCGGCTGCCTCATGTGGAATCTGTACACTGTCCTCTCCCCTCTGGCTCAGTTCAGAGCTTCGAGGGTCCAGCTCAAATGGCACCTCTCTTGCTGAGGCCTTTTGAGGCAATGCTAACCCATAGTGACCTTCTTCTTTTCTAAAAGCTCGCTGATTCTACTGCATAATTATTACCTTCTACATTTGGCTCTGGTCTCTAGCTATATGTGCTTTTTTTGTTCGTTTGTTTGAGAGATTTTTGCTATAGGGCACACGTGCTTGCCAGAGAGACACAGAGAGAGACAGAGAGACAGAAAGCGAGAAATCACTCCCCAGGGAGGATGGCCATGCCGCAATCCCTTCTCCTCCATTCTCCTCTCAGGATCTTGGGCACGCATGCATATGCGCCCAGCATGAGTTTAAGCTACCAGGTCTGGGACTCGAGCCACAATTGACTACACGAGAGTCCAGTGACATAGCCATTATGCTAACTGCTGGTCCCCTGTCACTAATGTTTGAATTCTGAGTTTTCAAGTTTTCTGGTGGACTCAGATAAGGAGATTTCCACCATTCTTTTCCAGCTCACTTCAGATAACCTAGTGGTACATGTTTGACCCAGAACCGTAGTGTCGAAGACCATGAACGAAAGTGTGATTTTTAAAGAATGAGATGTTCTGTGGGGTGGGATGAGTAGGACCAGAACTGCCCCATCCAGGTGACCTTCTGGGAGAGCAGACCCTTTCTGCAGTGATGTTACCGCCATTACTCAAAACGCTCTGTCCTCCCCTCCTGGAATCACTTGGAGAAGACTTTCGAGAAGTCTCTCGAGAAAGCTGGTCTTATTTCATGAGTGCCCCTTGTCACTTGAATGCTCTGCTTTACCGTGGCATGTTTTCCTGGTGGGAACTCCTCCTGACTTTAGACCTCTCTGTGTTCTCTCAGGGAATGGGGATGTTACAGGCAGTTTGCCCTCTAGGGTGGTTAGGTCATTGCTTACGGAGTATCAGACTTCTGGAACATCAGTTCTGACATCCTCGTCGCCCTACATCCACCTTCTGGCCTTACTAACCTCGCATTCATTCATTCACTCATTCAGTAGTTCAACCAGTAGATACGGACAACCTCTACGGGCTTAGCTGTGCCAAGCACTGAGATTCTGTAAAATGTTCTGCCTTTGAAGACTTCATTTGCTCGTTTCAAATATTTACTGATGACAAAATCCGTTGAGTGGCATCTGAGGCCAATGAGGCAGGCCGGTCCTCGGCACTGTCCAGGCGGTGGCAGGCACTGATTTGGCCTTTGACATGGGGAGACTGTAGCCAGGGAGGAGGGATCGGAGAGTGCAGTAAGCAGGAGGCCCTGCGTGCGCAGAGACGCAGAGGCAGCAGCTGGTGTGGGGTGCTGATGGGACGAGAAATCTGTTGTCACCAGAGTGGGACCCATAGATGACTAGGCCCTGGCTAAAACGCATGTTCCTTCTCTCCTCCCAGAACATCGCGAGTCCAGACAGTCAAGGTCCGGACTGAAAGCTACACCCCGCCCTCGAGCACCTTGAATGAGCCCAACATTGGCAGCTTTCGCCAGGAGACTCTGAAGATGTTTCTTGACATCCCAAGCCCTGCCTCGCAAATGACTGACGACAAAAGCAGCACCATACCTAGGAGGCACTACTCATGCCCATGCGGTGTCCGACACCCTCGTCACAAAGCCTTCTCCCGCCGAGCTGGATGCAGAGCCCACGTGGAACAGATCTGCACTGGGGGAGTTAGGAGACCAGCGTCCCACCTGCCTTTCCGTGGTCTCAAACCCGCTGCAAGACCCCGTGCGTGTCCCCTCTCCTCTCCAGACCGTGGACTCTAGGCTATCTACAGAAGCCTTCCGACATTTTCCCAGATGTTAGCCTTGAATGAGTCTTAGTTTTAAAAGTAATTTTTTTGATCTCTAACCAGAGCACCCACTACATTCAGATAAATGCGTCTGTGTACTGCACGTTGTTTATTCCATTAGTGCTCACATGGATTTGTGGATGCCTTCCAGGAATGCGGCAGGCCCCAGATGGGGAAGCTAAAGACTGGGCACCCCGTTCATTCAGAATCTTCCTAACCCTGTGTCGGGAATTCTAGGCCCGGAGAAACAAAGCCGATCCTTAGCACCTCCCTGATCTCACGGGGCTGGCTGCGTCAGTGAGAAAATGAATGTGAAGAGTTCTGAAAAGGATGAACTAGCCTGTGTGTGTTGTTATTCTTATAGCTCCATCTGGGTGGTTTTCAGGATGTGGAGGAGGGCTTCAAATCTGGACTGCCAGGGACGGCGGCATGGGTGGATGCCGCTCAAGAGCACCATACCTAGGAGGCACTCACGATTCATGCCCTAGTCGCCGCGGATTCGTAGATTTATGACAGTAATTCCCCAGCTGGTGGCAGTCATATGTCTTGAGAAGGGAGCTCTGTTTTGGAATTTGCACAAGGGTAAGGGTGTGGAGGGCTAGTGGGGAGGAAGACGGGGCAAGGGGAGAGAGGCCTGGGCACTGAGACAGGGCTGCCTCAGACCTAAGACTGGCAGCGTCCTAGGAAGTGTCGCTAAGCATGTTCTGGACGTTTTTATTGCTGTTTCTGAGAAGTGGGAGAGAGGCGAGTTATTTATGGATGTATTTTAGGCAGTGTTCGGGAACAGAGCATGCAAATGTGAAGGATCGGAGTAAGTGTTGCAGTGAAGGTCAGGAACCTTCTGCACAGAGTCTCTTATTGGGAATGATGTTCTTTACGCTGTGTATTTCATATGAGTCCCCGATGCTGGCATCTGAGTCTCGCTTTTGTACTGTTGATTTGAACCAATAAAGATACCGACTTGCACAAATGTATGCATTGGATTATTCCCAATGGAGGCGAGACGGATACCCACCTCCCGCATCTGTGACCATCGGTGTCTGCCAGGCCATGGAGCCCAGTCTGCTGCTCCCTGCTGGGCACTCTCTCTGGATCCTCTTTAGGTGTCCCCCCTTTGGGGTGCCAACTCGCCTATGCAGTAAAAAAAAAAAAAATGCCCAAGAAGCCTGGGTTTTATTTTATTTATTTAATTTTTTTAAAGAATTATTTTATTTAACTTTATTATTTTTTAATTTACCTGGGGGGGGAGTAAGAAAGCAAGCCACCAGGTTGGGACTCAAACCACTGTCAGCCATGTGGGAGTCCAGTGCTTCTAACCACCATGTCACCTGCCAACCCCAATAAACTTTTTTTTAATCAATTTTATTTATTCATTTTATTTTTTTAATTTGATGAGACAGAGAGAGATAGAGATAGAGAGAGAAGGTGAGAAAGCAAGCCACCAGGTCAGGGACTCGAACTGTGGTTGGCCATGTGAGTGTCCAGCACCCTAACCACCATGCCATGTGCTGGTTCCCCCAATAAATGAACTTTTTAAAAAACTAAGTAATGGGGGTACCAGAGGATGGCATATTGGTTAAGGCACTGGACATTCCCATATGGCTGACCACATTTTGAGTCGCAGACCTGGTGGCTTGCTTTCTCACTTTCCCTTATCCCCTTCTCTCTCTCTCTCTGGTCAAATTAAAATAAATGAATGAATAAATGAAATTAAGTAAATAATTCTTTTTTTAAAAAAGTAATAGGTATAATCAAGATTTGGGTCTAATTTTCGGCTAATTGATTTTTTTTTTGATAGGTTTTTGTTATAGGGCACGTGCGCTCACCAGACAGAAAGAAAGCGTGAAATCACCCCCTAGAGGTGATAGCCACGTCGCAATCCCTTGTTCCCTATTCTCCTCTCGGGATCATGGGCACGCACGCACATGTGCCTGGTGAGTTTAAGCCACCGGGTCTGGGACTCGAACTGCGGTTGACTACGTGGGAGTCCAGCAACATAGCCATTACGCTAACTGCTGGTCCCGCTAATTGACTTTAAATAGTTCTGAAATGGGCCAGCAGTTGGCATGTGATTATGGTGCTGGACTCCCACATGATCGATGATTTGAGTCCCAGACTCAGTAGCTTGAAACTCATGCTGGACATGTTTGCATTCCT